GGAGAGAGAAGGAGTTAATGTTATCGAAGAGACGATTCTCGCCGATCGGGTCGGAGGAATGTTTGGCAACAGATGAGCATTCGGTAGTGTCGGACGGATCTGATGCCGATTCCGCCACTTATAACGTCAACTCTCCCCGAAGAGCACGGATTGTTAGACCCGTTGCCTCAAAAGTATAGCGCATTTATAATTATTTTTGTTATCATTTAATTGAGTTTTAATAACATTTTGTTTACTATTTAGTCATCAAATTTGAACTATTCTTTGGCTAAAAATAAATACACGGCTAAACAGACGCGCACTTCAGCCCTGAGAGCCTCCCGATCCCGATCTGTTGAAACACATCTCAGCGAAGATACCATTATCTCTCATAATAAGGGCACCGATCGGCACATGTATTCAAATGATGGCAACAAATATATTGATTATATGGTAAATAACGCCAACTTTGCGTTCATTGATGACAACAATGCATCCAAACGAGCGAAACCACGTTTGGACACTTCAGCTAAGAATAGAGAGCATAACAACAAATCATTGCTCACTTCTGTTCGCTCCAAGTTATCGGCGTCGCTCTCATCACACGCTTTGGGCGCGAGTAACGCGAGTCTGTCGTCCAACTCGTCCAATGGTTTGACCCCTTCGTGTGCGTCGTTCTCACGACGACTGGAAGTCCAGTCACGCATCGCATCGCTTTGGAAGCGAAGCAAAAGCACCGCAACTGAGTCTAAGTCGAAGAAAATGGATTTGAGTCGCTCTATAAGTGCCCGAAGGTTTGCCCAACACATGCCCAACACTAGCCCAACACAGTCTTGTTGTATGCATTTTGGCTTAACGTATGGTTTATTTATTTACAGATCATTTGGAAAGTCAAACAAAAATGTGGATCAAAAGGGCGGGTCATTAGTGCGGAGCTCGACGTACGAGAAATTACCGCAGAGTCCGGACGAGGCCTCAAATGTAGACATCAATCATAAGAACAATAGAAAGCAAACGAATGATAAGTTTAACAACAATTATATTGAAAAACACGATTTGTTGTCTCATCACAAAAGCCAACAAAATAACAAAACCAATGGAAACGCTTCGTATCTCTCCTCTAAATGTTCAGCAAAGTCTTCAATCAAATCTAAAACCAATAAGAATTGTGTTTTAAATAACAATATAATTAACGACATGTCTGTTACCAGACATTCATCGCCACAAAACACGACCACAACTGCAACGACGACAACAACAGCCAAGAGTTCGGCCAATTCTCGGCGGACTTGTCTCGTCACCGCTGTTTGAGTCACCGCTCTTTGAGTCACCACATATTGACTCCAAATATCACTTATAATATATACTAAACAAACAAAATGTGAATTTGTTTCAAAAATCTATAACTCTTTAACCTAAACTAAATTATTATCATTAAATTAGAATCTATACATTTAATTTACACTTATATATATATATAAAATTAAAAACAATTAATTAAATGCCTAATTTTTGTGTGTAATTCTCCACATTTTAAATCATAATTGAGATTTTATTTGACAGGTATTGACAGTTATTTTACTAACTCTTAATTAGCGGCCAAAACTGAACCACTATTTATCGATTTTTACATTTATATGATTTGTTTGCAATTTTGATGCCATAATTGATTTCTAGTTATCATGTTTAATTTAATTAGGCCATAAGTTGTATTTTATAACTTACATTATATTTAAGCGTTTGGATGAATTAATGTAATCATAAATTTTAAGTTCAATAAAATAATAAATTTTTTAATTATTATAATTTATAGTATAAATATTAAACAATATTTAATAATTAACATGATTTAAATGATTCAATCATCACGACGACAATAGCAGCAGTGAAGATGTATTAAGCATTATATAATAGGTAAATAGTGAATCACAAATGTTCAATACATGTGTTAACCAAATCAGTGATAAGCAGAGCATTGCTAAAAATGCATTTATAAGCAGTCAAATATGTCAAAGTTCCCGGCGATCACATCCTAATCACTGTCTTTTCTCGCATTCAAATCTCATTAAAATAGCAGTGAAATCACATCCAGAATATTCTGTCTATGAGTTAAACAATTGGTTCAAACACTCGACGCTAAGTGTGGGTCCAATTGAAGCCATCCTAACCTGTAATGCAATGAATGAATTGAACTGAAAGTTCGCGGAACCAAACATATGACAAATGAATGCTTTCTCTTCATGGAAGACATTCTCAATATTATAGACACAACTATTGGACAAATATGTTGTGGTCTTGTTTTGCAAAGACATTACTTATCCCCAAAACAGATGTCTCAACGCAAACCTAATATATCTTATTATTCTTCGCATTCAATTATTGAAGCATTGCTTTCATGCGATGAACAATCTGTTGACCAAATCATCAAAAGTCGACAGTCGAAGAAAAAATTAGTGATATTATCTCATTTGGAATCAATGACTTGAATGCCATCCGAAGAAGCGCCAAATTTACGTCCATTCCATCAATAAGTTCGTTGATGTCATCGCCGGTCACATCGACTCCATTCAAGTGGTGTGAAGGCTATGACGGCGGACCCACTCTT